AAGGCAACTTTTATGTTCCAGAAAAGCAGCAGAACAGCAGCAAGGGGCTCACACTGCAAGAGCATATGGTCCCCAGTTTCAGTTTAGCTGATAAGTTTAGCCTGCCCAAGAGATAGCAGGTGGTAAGAGTGACCTACAACCCCTGGTTCTGCTTGGTATGTGTGTTCTCTGTGTGTGTGTGTGTGTGTGTGTGTGTGTGTGTGTGTGTGCAGGCCACACCCAGCAGAGCTCAGGACTGACTCCTGGCTCTGCACTCGGAAATCACGACTGGCGGACCCATATGGGGTTCTGGGGATGGACCCAGGTCAGCCGCATGCAAGGCAAGCGCCCTACCCCTAGTACCACGGCTCCAGCCTCACCCATTTTGCTTTAAGTTGATCTTCTTTGATTCCTTCCCTCCCCTTCCGTCCCTTCTTGTGTGGTGCTTGTGACGAGGGGGCCCCACGCACTCTTAGTGGCGGCGCCCCCTAACTTGAAGTGCTCCTTCCAACTTGGTTGAAGGTGCCACCAATGACACACTTGGCTGTGGGGACGAGGACCCCAACCACAGAGCAGGCCCCCACACAGGCGTCAGGGGCAGAGCCAGGACCGGCTGCTCAACCCACCGCCTCACCCTGTGCAAGCAGGCCCTCCACCAGGAAGCCGGCCCTTTTCGTGGTTATTTCTGTTTTTTTTGTTTCTGGGATTTTGTCTTTGTCTTTAGAGCCACACCTGACCATGCTCAGAGCTCACGCCTGGCTCAGTGCTCAGGGACCCCTCCTAGGGGAGCGCGGGGGGCCATGTGCAGTGCGGGGGATCAACCCTGGGTTGGCCGCATGCAAGCACTATTGCTCTGACCCTCGTTTCATATTTTTCTTTTCTTTTCTTTTTTTTCTTTTTCTTTTTTCTTTATTTTTGGGTCACACCCAGCGATGCACAGGGGTTACTCCTGGCTCTGCACTCAGGAATTACTCCTGGTGGTGCTCAGTGGACCACATGGGATGCTGGGAATCAAACCCAGGTCGGCCACGTTTAAAGCAAGACTCTACCCGCTGTACTATGACTCCAATCCCTCATATTTCCCCCCTCATATTTTTCTTTGTATTTTCTTTTAGCTTGGAAAAAAAAAACCTCTTTGTTATTATTATTTTTTTTGGACCACACTTGCCTGTTGTTAGGTCTTTACTCCTGACTCAGTGCTCAGGAATTACCCTGGCAGTGCTCGAGCGGGCCCGGGATCAAACCAGGTCAGCCCAAACAAATCATGTGCCCTGTAGTATCTGCTCCCATGCCTTTATCTACTCCTCGCAGTGCCTAAAGCCTCCTCCAGGTGGCGCACTGAGGACCCTGCGTGCCAGGGAGTGCGCCCAGGAAGCTTCCTTCTGTCAGCCTTTAGGCCATCTTTCCTGCCCTCACTTTTTTATGTATCTGAAATCTCAAGATGGGTTTTTCGTCTTTTTTTTTTTAATTTTTATTAGTGAAACACCATGAGGTACACTTGTAGACTTACAAATTTTTGTGCTTGGGTTTCGATTATACAATGATCGAGTACCCATCCCTCCACCAGTGCCCATTTTCCACCACCACTGATCCCAGTATCCCTCCCACCCCTCATCCCACCTGCCTCTGTGGGAGGGCATTCCCCTTTGTTCTCTCCTTTTGGGTGCTGTGGTTTGCAGTGTGTGGCAATCATGTTCAGTCCATAGTCCACTTTCAGCATGCACCTCCCATCCTGGGAGGATCCTCCCAACACCTTTATTGGGTGCATCCTTCCCTCTCTGAGCTGCCTTTTCCCCTAGGATGTGTGGCTGGCCTCCAAGCCATGGAGCGAACCTCCTGGTACTTATCTCAGCTATTCTTGGGTGTTAGTTTCCTATTTTGTTACTTTATATTCCCCGGATGAATGCAATCTTTCTATGTCTGTCCCTCTCTTTCTGACTCATTTCACTTAGCCTGATACTTTCCATGTAGTACCACTTGTATGTAAATTTCATGACTTCATCTTTTCTAACAGCTACATAGTACTCCATTGTGTCGATGTACCAATGTTTCTTTAACCAGTCATCTGTTCTCGGGCACTCAAGTTTTTTCCAGATTCTGCTATTGTAAACAATGCTGCAATAGTCTTTTGTTTTTGATATATTTTTTTTCTTTTTTAGTAACCCTGCGATTTACAGGGGTTACTCCTGGTTCTGCACTCAGGAATTACTCCTGGTGCTGCTCGGGGGACCATATGGGATGCTGGGGATCGAACCTGGGTTGGCCGTGTGCAAGGCAAGAGCCCTACCTGCTGTGCTATAACTCCAGCCCCTTGATTTGTTTTGTTTTGCTTTGTTTTTCTTTTTCTTCTATCAGTTGGCCGGATTCAAGACACTCTACCCGCTCTACTCTCTCTGGCCTGTTTATAAAATCTTGGAAAGCTGTTTTTGCCTAATATTCCATCGGGGGAGCTTCTCTGTCTTCTCACTTGCCTTGGGTGAAAATATAAGGCCATGGGCCCCAAAACGAAAAAGAAAATATATTGGCATTCTTGATTTCTCTGCACAGAACATCTTTGAATTTTTTTCTCTTGATCACTAATATGTGTAAATTGATATGCCATAGTATAGTTTTCTTTTTTGTTTTGGGGCCTCACCCGCAGTGCTCAGGGATCACGCCTGACACAGACAGGGGAGCAAGTGGGGTGCTGGGGATCAACCAGGGTCAGTGCGAGGCAACTGCCCGACCACTATCGCTCCATCCCCCTGGCAACAGGCTTGTTGACCTTCATCCTGAGAATGGGGGAAGCAGAAAAGGGGGGACGTGCCGAGTCTGCATGTGCTGTGTCCCTGGGCCCGTGTGAAACAGTTTATGCTGAGACCTAAAGCTCTCAGGAGGATGTTAATGTATTTCATGGGGGCTTGGGGGGACGTTCCTGGTGGTGGTGGTGAAACAGACCCCAAAGTTCCAGCTCCTCTCCTTTGAGCCTCTTCTCCAGCCCCTATGAGACTGTTTAAAATTGGGAGATACAAACCTACAACACAGCAGCAGGTCTTACTATGGGTCCAGGGGTGCTAACTGTGCCTATGACTAGATCAAGTGTGGCGATAGAAAATTGGAAGCCGAAGCCCAGAGTCAGAAAGCTAAATTAAAAAAAATAAAACCTTGGGGCAGAGAGATAGGTTAGTGGTAAGGCGCTTGCCACATGGGTTATGCCACATGGCTGGCTTAATCCCCGGCACCACACAGGATCTCCCAAGCCCACCAGGAGTGATCCCTGAGTGCCTAACTAGGAATAAGCCCTGAGCACCGCAAGTGTGGCCCCAAAACGAAAAATAATAAAAATTAAAACAGTATCTCTCCTCCTAGCAGAATATATTTCAAATAAAGATTTAAATTTAAAAAGAAAAAAATTAAAACAGCTTTGTGGGTTGGGCTTGTAGGTCAGCAACAGAGCATGCTGCTGGCATAGGTGAGGCCCTGGGCTCATTCCCCACACCTCACCCAGAACAGAACTTTAGTGAGAAGAAAATATCATCAATCCCTTGTACACTTTGCTCTGTGATTTTCAACACTTTCAGGGGTGTGGCCAATGGAGCAGATGTTGACAGCCCTCTGATCTGAGGTCGAGGGATAGTGCAGTGGATAAGGTGTTTGCCCTGTACAGGGCCGGCCCAAGTTCAATCCCTGGACCCCCAGGAGTGGTCCCCAGAGCCTGTCAGGAGTGATCTCAGCTCAGAACTAGGATTCAGTCCTGAGCACCCCTGGGTGTGGCACCAAGACAAAACCTGTTTTCTCAGGCAGTCGAGGGAGCTTCCCCCAAAGTTAAGGATGATTTTGCATCAGATCACCTCCCGGAAACCCATGTGTGTGTGTGTGTGTGTGTGTGTGTGTGTGTGTGTATGTGTGTGTGCGTGTGTGTTATGTCTATAACATTTGACGCCTGTCCCGGAAACCCGTGTGTGTGTGTGTGTGTGTGTGTGTCTATAACATTTGACGCCTGGGGTCAGAGCCTTAGTACAGGAGTGGGGGGCCTTTGCCTTGCACGTGACCGACCGGGGTTCAATCCCTGGCATCCCATATGGTCCCCTGAGCCAGGAGTAACCCCTGAGCATCCGGCTGTGACCCAAAAGCAAAAAAAAAAAAAAAAAGACGGCCTTTTTGGTTGTTAACCTGCGCCCCTGAGAACTCCCCCCTCGAGTGTCTCTGCTCCACGAGTGGAGGAAGAGGTTCACGTGGGGAAATCAACACTCAGAACAAGCCACCTGTATCTATTTGATTGTTGGAGGGCGGGCGGGCTGGGGGTGCTGGAGGGGGACAAGGCATCTCTCAGAAGATGCTCAGGAGGCCAGGAGCCCGTGCAGGTGATGCTCAGGCAGACACAGCCGGGAGGGGGAGGACAAGGGGGGGGGCTGCGAGGGTCCTCGAGGTGCGGAGGCTCCAGGACAGCACTGGTGCTGGAGGCACCGCCACGGACTCCGCGGCCGCTGGTTCCGCTCCGTCGCTGTCCGGTTAGAGGGGCACACCAGCGGTGCTCGGGGCTTACTCCGTCCGGGAGGCCGGGGGCCGGGGGGCGAGGCGCGCGGCCGCGGGCAAGGCCAGCGCCCCCACCCCCGCCGGGCTTTGGTCCCCCACCCGCAATTCCGCAGGCGTCGCGAGGCGCTGCAGAGTGCACGGCCGGGCGCGGGGGCTGGGCCGGGGGCGCGAGGCCCGGGAAGGAAAGGACGCTGGGAAAGGACGAGCGCGGCCAGAAAGCCGCCGCCCCGGCCCGCTCGAAACCGGCCCGGGCGCTCGCGGGGCAGGTCGCGCTCCGCCCGCGGGGGACGCCGGGAAACGGCGCGCGCGCCTCCCCCGGCGGCGCAGCCCGCGTCCGCCCCCTGGCGGCGCCTCCGGGCACTGCAGCCCGCGCCCTCCACCCCCCGCCCCGCCCGCCCCGGAGAGGCTCCGCCCACCTGCCGCCTCGGGATTGGCCGCGCGCGGAGAGCCGGGATTGGCGGCGCCGGCGGCGAGGCCCCGCCCCCCTCCCCGGGCCTTTGATCACGCGCGCGCCGCGCTTCCGGGGCGCGGGAGCCGAGCGAGGGCGTTGCTGCGCGGCCGCGGCGGGAGGTAAGGCGGGCGGGCGGGGTGCACGGCCCGGGGCCCCGCGCGCCCCCACCCCCTCCCCCGGCCCGCGCCGCCCCCGCCGCGGGGACCCGCGCCCGCCCGCCGCGGCCGCGCTGCATCCCGGGGGCCGCCTGGCATGGCCCCTCGGCTCCGGGACGGTGAGCAAGAAAGTGGGCGAAGCAGGTGCCCCCGCGCCCAGCACGGCCACCCCGCCCGGCCCGGCCTGCCCCAGGCGTCGGGGCCCGCGGGACCCCGGCGTGCCGCTCCCCGGGACGCGGCCCCCGCCCCGCCCTACACCCCCACCCCCGCCGCCCGGTGCTGACCCCCCGCTGCCAGCCCACGCGAGCAGGGCCCAGGGCGGAGCCCGGGTGGGGACCCGACGAGGTGACATCATCTCCAGATCCAGGCGCGTCTGCCCACCCGTGTCCACCCTGCACACGAGGCAGACGGCGGAGCCAGTGGCCTGCCTCTGTCTGAAGTGACCATGGTGGGTCTGGGGGTGGAGGACCCAGCGTGCGAAGCCTGGGCTACCAGCACGGACTGACGTGGGCACCGCACGCCCCCGACTCCCCCTAAGTGGCAGGCAGGCCCCTCAAGGTTAGCGCATCCCTCCCCCCCTCCCCCCCCAGTCTCCTCCAGAGCGGCTGGACCAGCCCTGGAGCCTCTCCAGGGCACTGAGGCGCACACGGATTTGTGAGCGGCTCTGGAAGGGTCAAGCCCCTCACCCCGAGGCCCCTGGCCGCCTCCATCCCCAGGGAGCCCGCCGGAGGCGCCCTCCCAGGCACCGGCCCATGCTGACCCCGCTGCGTCGATGCCATGAGCAACACCACCACGGTACCCCTCGCCCCCCAGGCCAGCAGCGACTCCATGGTGGGTTACGTGCTGGGGCCCTTCTTCCTCATCACCCTGGTCGGAGTGGTGGTGGCTGTGGTAAGAAGGGGGTCGCCCACACACACCTGCGCAGAGGGTCGGGGTGTGGGGTGGACGGGGCTGGTGGGGGCGGGCACACCCTTTGCACAAGCCGCAGTCCCGCACCTTACTTCCGTTGCAGGTAATGTACGTGCAGAAGAAAAAGCGGTGAGTGCGGGCTTCCGGGTCCCCCTGCACATGTGGGCTGTCCCCTCGGCCTGGACCCTGCCCCTGCATCCCTGGGTTTGTGCTCTGCTAGGGAGAGGCTGCCAGTGGAGCTTGGCCGAGCCCCCAAGTGTCCCCCCCAGAGGGGGGTGCGGAGTCCCCCAGGCTGAGACCCCCCCTGCTCCCCAGGGTGGACCGTCTGCGCCACCACCTGCTTCCCATGTACAGCTACGACCCAGCTGAGGAGCTGCATGAGGCCGAGCAGGAGCTCCTCTCCGACGTGGGGGACCCCAAGGTGAGCAGGACCCTGGGGGCCAGCCCAGCTGGGTAGTGGGGGGTCTCCCCCAGGCGCTGCCAGGAACTGCTCTCCCACACTCCCTTGCAGGTTGTCCATGGCTGGCAGAGCAGCTACCAGCACAAGCGGATACCACTGCTGGACGTCAAGACCTGAGCCAGCCCCTGGGCCCTGCCCCGTGAACTTGTGCAGGGCTTGGTGTATAGCATTCCTTATAAATATTTTGTAAATAAAATGTTTTGTGGCTAGTAGTGCCAGTGACGTTTTGGGAGGGGCATGTGGGGGAGGGGGGGAACGTATTCAGCAGTGCCAAGGACTTTAGGTCATTCCTGGAGGGCTCAGAGTATGGGGTGCTGGGGATCATATTGGGGTCAGCCACATGCAAGGCAAGCACCCTCCCCACGGTACTACTGCACTGGCTTCTGACCTGGGATCTTAACAGTGCAAGATCCAATCCCAGACCTCAGCCTGGGGTTGAGTGCACTGCAGTTCTCGGGTCCAGGGACTGCCCAATCCTCCGGGTAGCTGGCTCTAGAGGCAGCTTTGGCCATCTGTGCTCAGGGCCCTGCTAGGTGCCAAGGAAGCTGAACCTGTCCAGCCTTAGCCAGGACCTGGCTTGGACTCTCGAGCCCAAGATCTGGGAGCAGATGTGAATACCTTTGCTCCCCACCCAGAAAGCTGGGCATGACACCCCACCCCTAGAATCCTTGTTTCCACCCCCACCGGTCTCAGGTGCTCAGACTCCAGTCCAGAAAAGGAATATTTTTTTATTCAAGTAACTGCAAATAGGAAACCAGAAGGGGGCCCCAGGCTGGGACAAATATTGGCTACCTCCTCCCCAACAGAAGGGGGGAAGGCGGCCTTCCACCCTCCACGGACAACAAAGCCCCCCTCACTCCACAGAGCATCCGGGGCAGAGCCCCGCCTTCCCTGCAACTGGGGTGGTCAGTGCCCCCACTGCCCTCCAGCCCCAGGCCACTGGCCCGCCGGAGCGGGGGTGGGTGGGCCAGGGCGGGGGCTGTTTGGCGCTGGTAGCAGCAATGAGGGTGCTGAAGAATGAAACAGTGAACAAAAAACAACACAACTAACTGTCCAGAGGTAGTTTGTGAACAGAGGAAAAGATGGAACCAGAACCTTGGGGGGCCGGGTTGGGCGGAGGGGAGGGGAGGCCCAGCGTGGACAGAGAAGGGGGTGCCCTCATCCTGCACCCCGCGCACAGCGTCCGACCTAATGCAGGCACTAGGCCGGGCAAGAAGGAAAAGTGGGTGAGCGCCACGCTGGAAACGCGAGTGGGGTGTGATCCGGGGCCACCTCTGCTGCCGCCAGTGGGGGGGGGGGCATGTTAGAATGACGGGGCTGGGGCCCCTTTTAAGGCCAAGGGGGCCCACCCAGGCCCCTTAGTGAGAAGCCAGGGGGAAGGGGGGGCAGGAGGGACGCCCCCCAAGCAAGAACCGAGTCCTGCTGAAGTGGGTGCTGAAGGTGCAGCTAAGTGGCGCTGTTGGGGGCCGTGGGGGGTGGCGGGAGAAACACAGGGGACAGTGCCCCCTCCTGGGCCCGGGGAGGGGCCGTGGTGGTGGCTGGTGTGCTGTGTAGTGTGTGGGGGTGGGCGGGTGGGCAGGCCTGGGGGTGCGGGGGTGATGGGGGGCGGAGCTGTCCAGTCCCAGAAGAATCGGCTCCTGGCGCGGGCTTTGGGGGTCACTGCTCACTGCTCCTCCTCCGAGGACTCCTGCGAGATGCCCTCCTCTTCCTCCTTCTCCTGTGTGGGGTGCAGCCGGCCGTGAGGAGGCGGGCTCCCCCACCCCCAGACCCACCCTAGGACCCACCCAGGCCTGTCTGCCTGTGCTCTCCGCAGGCGGCCAGGAGGGGGAGGGCTGAGTCAGGGCTGAGTGTGTGGGTGACTCAGCAGCCTCCAGGCCCAGTTTCATTCATGAAATTAAAGAACACAGCGCGCCGCAAAGGGAGGCCAAGGCCACGCCACACGCGGCCAGCGCAGTGCAGGGCCCCGCACGGCCCAGCCCGGCCAGGGGATGGGTGGTGGGAAGGCAAGGAGCGTCAGGAAGTGCGAGGGCTGGCAGTCAGGGGAGGAAATGAGGGGGTGAGGTGGTGGGAGCCCCCCCTGGTGGTCGCAGGGGGCCATGCCAGAGGGGCTCACTCACCAGGTGGTAGCGGGCCAGGCCCCCTCCCAAACTCCCCATTTCCTGTTACTCATGAGGGGCCTGGCCAGAGACTCCCCTCACGCCCGTGGTGGCTGCTGTCCAGAGCTGGCCTGGGGAACAGGTCAGGAGCTGGGCGTGCCACCCAGGCTGGGGGCTTCCTCAGGCCACCCACTCTCCCCAGCTCTTGGGGGGCCCAGAAATTGGAGGAGCGGGAACGAGAAGGTGCCCGTGTGAATTCACGAGCCCACCCAGGAAAGGCCCAGGACCCGACCACAGACCCCTGCAACTGATGGCAACTTTCCTCTTCTGGTTCCCATTGCTAAGACCCTCCTCCCCGAAGTCAGCCTGCTGCAGCCCAGGGGGTCTGACACCCATGTGCTCCACATCCTGACCCCCCAGCAGGAAGCCTGCATTGTGGGGTGTGGGGCAGGTTAGACCCCCCCAACACACACACGTGTGCAACCTCCCTTCACCTACCAGTTTTTTGGGTCTGCCCCTTGGTTTCCTCCCTGGAGCCGTGGCGGTTTTCTAGGGGGACAGAGAAAAAGACCCACAAAGTCAAAACTGGCCCAGACCACACTCACCAGTAGGGGGGGGTGTAGGGGCCCTCAAGGACTCATCCCATGGCCCCAGCTGGGGATGACTGGCCAGCCCCCCCCCCAACAACACAGACACCCCCACTCCTCCACCCATGACTCAGAGGATGTGAGTCGTGTCTAAGGAAAAATAAAACACCAAACAGGACAAGGCTAGTGCCTCCCCACCCTGCAGACCCCTAGGTCTGCCCCCCCCTCAGGGGTGCAGAATCACGCCCACTCAGCCCCTTCCCCACAAGCCTCACCCGCGTCTTGGTGGCGCCCTTGTTTTTGCTCCCCTTCGGTCGGCCCCGAGGTCTCTTAGGCGTCGGCACCTCACTGGGCTCCTTCTGCAAGACAGAGGACAGTCAGGAACACGCTGGCCACCAGTCCCTGCTTCGCACGACACCCATCAGCTTGTGCTGAGCCCTCTGCCGGCCTCCCCGGAGGCCCGGCCTGTCCTCCAAGGCCCCCGAGGGAGCTTGCCAGTAGCCCGGCCGCACCCCATCTCCCACTGACCAGCATTTAGACTTTGGGTAAAGCAGGGTCCTGCCTAGGCCTCAGTTTCCACATCTGCAGGTGCAAGGAAGAGAACTTTCCCTTGTTCCCAGAGATGGCTCCCTTCCGGAGCTCAGTGGGTGCCCATCGGGCTCCATCCATAGCCAGTCAGGTCCCAGAGGGGTCCTGTCTGGCTCTCAAAACTGAGCCTGCTGCCATTTTAACAAGCAGAGTCCATAAAAAGTCCTGTGTGACACATGGGAGCCATGAGCTGGGCCCCAGTTAACCCAACAGCCAACAAACAGGAAAGGGGATGGGAGGAGTGAGGGGGGACAGGGACAAGGGGTCCTGCACAGTTGGAGGTGCTCTCCTTGCACTCAGCTGACTCGGGTTTGATCCCTAGCACCCGACATGGATCCCAAGCCCGCCAGAGTGATCTGAGCACCGAGCCAGGAGTCAGCCTTGAGCACAGCTGGGGGTGGCCCCAAACAAAGCAAAAGCAAAAGCGAAAAGCAAACTGAAAAACCAGAGGCAGCTAGATTCCACCACCCAGCTCATGGCCCGCGGCCAACTCAACTCTGACCATTGCCCCCAGGCTAGTGGTCAGCGCCCCACTCCAGGTGCTCCAGGGGACATTCCCCGGCGCCCAGAGTGAAGTGTGGGGTCTGGCCAACAGCCTTGGCTGGCGGGTGTCGTTGCCACTCACCCTGGCCTCCTGCGCAAGACACCTAGGGGGAGGCCAGGGTGCCCCACAGCCCATCTTGCCAAGTTTGTTCCTGAGCGTCCCATTTTATTCTTCTCAGGGTGCTGGGGGGTTGCACCCTCCTTCTGGTCTCCTTTCAAGCTCTGTGCAGGCCACTGCAGAGAGGGCTCAGGGGCCGTTTGATACCCGGACAAGGAAGCACAAGAACTGACAACTGTTTCGAGATGCCCACAATTCAAATGGCAGAGAGCAGAACTGAGCGTGCCCCCAAGCTGGTGATTCAAAGCAGCGCATGGGCATCTTCCTCCCGGTGGTAAGCTCCGCATTCGCGTCGTGGGCAGACACTGGGACGTTGACTGATGCCAGCACTGTTTTGTGAGCACTGACCTTGGGGCCTCACAATCTACGTCTAGGGGGCTGGAGTGGTAGCATAGCAGGTAGGGCATTTCCCTTGCATGCGGCCAACCTGGGTTCGATTCCCAGCATCTCATATAGTTCCCTGAGCACTGCTAGGAGTAATTCCTGAGTGCAGGAGCCAGGAGTAACCCCTGAGCATCGCCGGGCGTGACCCAAAAAGCCAAAATAATAAACCAAAATTAAAAAAAAAAATCAGGGCTGAAGCGATGGCACAGCAGGTAGGGCATCTGCCTTGCACGCAGCTGACCCGGGTTCGATTCCCAGCATCCCATGTGGTCCCCTGAGCACCGCCAAGAGTGATTCCTGAGTGCATGAGCCAGGAGGAACCCCTGTGCATCGCCAGGTGTGACCCAAAAAGAAAAAAAAAATCTACATCTAGCCGAACAGGCAGGAGGACCAAGGGCTGGAGTAATCCCAGATACACACCAGCGCCCAGTTCCAGTGCCGCCAGGCAAGGCCTCCCCCAAACACTGCCGGGCTATATTGGGGGGGGGGGGTTGCGGAGCATAGGTGTGGGGGAAGCAAACACACCCGTGGTTCTGGTTCTGTTGAGGTACTGGGCATCTCCTAAGCCCAGCTCCAACTCCCACCCGCCTGGCTGCCAGCAGTGTCCTGGGACTCACCGGAGGCTGCTTGCGTGGCCGGCCCCGTCCGCGCTTCTCCGTGCCATCCTTCTCCTGCTTGGAGGCCAGGGGCTGGCTGGCCTTGGAGCTTGACTCGCTCATCTTTCCTTCCCTTCGCTGCGGCAGGTACAACAGGGAGGCTGGGGTGCTGCAAGAGAGGCGCGAGTGGCGTCAACAACCCACCCCAACACACCTTTTAAAGAAACCGGCAGAGTGGGGCTGGAGTGATAGCACAGCGGGTACGGCGTTTGCCTTGCATGCAGCCAACCTGGGTTCGAGTCCCAGCATCCCATATGGTCCCCTGAGCACTGCCAGGAGTAATTCCTGAGTGCAGAGCCAGGAGTTAACCCCTGAGCATCACCAAGTGTGACCCAAAAAGAAAAAATAAAGGACACGGCAAAGGGACTGGGGCCACGGTACAGCGTGGAGGGCACCTGCCTTGCAGGCAGCCACCCCAGATTCAGCCCTCCAGCACCCTGCCGGGAGTCAGTCCTGAGCACTGTGCAAGGAGGGTGGTCCCCAAATATAAACACCACAGGAAAGAGCCTGCCCCCAGCAGAAGCCACTATCCCACCTGCAGAGGGCGGCGAGGAGGGCCAACCCAGTACCAGCGTGCATAGGTGGGGCTGGGCCCGCTGCAGGGAACCGGCTCTTTGTTGTCCTGCCTCCCCACATTGCCACCTGCCCCCCAAAAGGCCCAGAGCGGCTGTGAGGCAGCGGCTGCAGTCCCTCTAGTCAGATGAGAGCCAAGGAATTCCCACATGCCCCTCCATGTTGGCCCTCAAGCCCAACCCTGACCCAGCCTGAGAGCACGGGTGAGGACTGGCGCGCCCAGAAAGCTGAGGGAGGGGGTTCAAGGATAGAAACCACCCGAGATGGGTAAGACAGCTGATGGTGGAACGGGGGAGCTGGGGCAGGAAGAGGGGTCCCCTACTGAAATTGGGGCTCCTCTTTTCAATCAGCTAATAAGTGGCTGAATAAATAGCAGTACTCCTACATTTAAAAAAAAAGGAATTGGGGTTTCTGTGCCCTTAACCCTAGCCCCCACTTGGAGGAGCGCTATGGAGGGCCCCTAGGGTCACTGGAAGAATCCAGACCTAGAATCTTTTCTCTGAGGTCTGCTTGGATTAAGCAGCCCTGCTGAGTCAGCCCCTCTGAACCCTCCTGAGCCAGCAACCCCCTGCAACCCTGGATTGGGCACTTGCACCCCCTTCAGAGAGAAGCGGGAGATCCAGGCTGGGGCACCCAGCATAGCCAGGACTGAGCAAAAGTACCTGCCCAGGCCCCCAAATCAGGGCTAGAGCAATAGTACAACGTGGGCAGGGAGCTAGCTTGCCTTGCATGCTGCCCACCAGGGTTTGATCCCTGCACCCCAAGATCCCCCAAGCACTGCCGGGAATAATGAGTAATTCCTGAGTGCAGAGTCAGGAGCAACCCTTGAGCACCCGAGTGACCAGAAAAACATTAAAAAATATATATATATATATATATTTATGTATATATGCACCACACGGCAGTACTCTGGGATCACAGATCACCTTCGATGCCAGGGATAGAACCCCAACAATCTGCGTGCAAGGCAGATGCCCTACTCGCTGTCCTACCTCTTGGGCCGAGAATTTTTAATGAGTAAACAAAAAGGGTCCCCAAACACCCAACTTTGTTTCTTCAATTATCCCCAAGAGGATAGTGGGTACCCAGGAGACCCAGAGCACCCATCTCCCTAAGAGGATGGGGGGGCCGCCAGTGTGCAAAGGACCTTTGCCAAATGCCCCGAGGCCCAAGGTCTCCGCGCAGCCTGCCCCCACCTGGCGCTCTGCAGAACTGGAACTGGAACATCTGAGAAGGCTTCTTCCCCCCCCCCCCCCCAGGCCCCACCGACAGAATTCCCATTGTAACTCAAAGGGAAGCGACGGCTTTGGCCAACGTGTGGCTTGGGGAGGGCCCCCTCCCCCCAGCTTGAGAAGGTCCAAGGCGTCGGGCATTGGTGGTAATTATTCCATTTTATCCTATTTCAGACTGAAGACCCTTTTAAACAAGGTGGCCCGTGATTGGTCCTGCTCCCGTCATTAGTGGCTGGGCCTGCTCTGTAATTACAAGCGGTGATTAGAATCTTCTATCACCCCACAGGTTCTCCCTTCAAACTAAACATCAGAATTAATCAGCGAAATGAGCGCTGAGCTCACATGAGGTCGGCCACAGCCACCCCGGAGCCGGCCTGCAGGGCCACTGGGCCCGGGGAGGAACCTGGCCACTCCCCCAGGAGGAGGCTCTTGCATCATCTGGCACATCCCCCCGCCCACCTCTGGGCTAGGGGGACCCCCTCATCCACTCACCCACCCCACCACCCTCCTCTGGCCCTCCCTCCCGAGACCAGCATGTTTCCTCCTCCACCTGTTTCCAAACATCAGCGAGGCCTGCTCTGCCGAAGCCCAGTGAAGGTCCGACCTCAAACCTCGAGTTTGTAATTAGGGCTTTTCCGCCCGCCCGCCCCTTCCTCACTCCGTGCATGCAAAGTGCGTTCCATAAATACTGGGTGGGCGAGGGGGAGTCCTGCGGAGCCCGGGGGGAGGGGGAAAGCCTTGGCTTCTCAAAAAAAAACAATAAAATAAAATAAAATAAATACAAGTAAAGGGGGGGACCAGAGACGAGAGGAATCGCCCAAGGTCACACAGCGAGTGAACGGGAGGGAGGGAGTCGGTGGCCGGCGCGCACCTTCCGGGGCGCCCCGCCGCTTGCAGGTCGCCGGCGGGACCCGGGGCTGGAGCGCGCGGGGGGAGGGGCGCAGGCCGTCCCTGCAGGCGCGGGAAACCGGTGCACCCCGACCGCATGCACCGCCACGCGGGTGCACCCGGCCCCACTTCCTGCCAGAGGGGGCACCCAAGCTCGCCTGGGGCAGGAAACCTGGCGCGCGCGGGCGCGGGGGAGAGAGGAAGAAAGCCGCCCCCCCGCAAGATAAAACCCCGGGGGAGGGGGGAAAAAAGGGGAAAAATTAAACCCCGGACCGGGGAGTCCAAGGGACTAGTTCCAACAGCGCCCGGCAAAGCAGAGAAACCAGTTTGTGGGGGCGGAGGGCAGGCCCGGCCCCGGGGGCTCGCGGCGACGCAGGCCCGGCCAGATGCGCGGCGCGGTGAAGCCCCGGGCCCGGACCGCGCTCCGACCGCCCGCGTCCGCCGCGGGGGCCCGGGAGAAAGGCCGAGGGCGGGGTGGGGGCGGGGAGCGGGGAGCGGGCGAATTGCGGGGCGCCTGCCCATCCCCCGCACTTCCAGAACTTCCCCGGGCGGCGGGGGGCGCCGGCAACCCCTCGCCCGCCGCGCCGCGCCGCCGCGGCCCCGCGCCCCGCCCGGGCCGGCTCGGGCGCGGCGGCCGCGCGAGGTGCACCGGGCTCCGCGGGGCGCACGACTCGCGCTCGCCGCAGCCGCGCGCCCCCTCCCCCACCGCGCGCCTCCCGGTCCCCGCCCCCCCGCGGGCGCCCCCCGCGCCCCCCGCGCCGCCGCCGCCGCCCGCCCCCGCGCCGCGCGGCCCGGGCCCGCCGGCCGCTCGCGCCGCCCGGCCTGGGAATAAAGCCGGCGGCGCGCGCCGCAGCCCCCGAGCACTCACCGCGAGCTCGGCCGCCGGCCTGCCGGGAGCGACGCTGCTGGGCGCGGAGACCGGCCTGGCGCCGCCGCCGCCGCGAGCAAATGCGGATCTGAAACCGGGAGGGAGAGAGAGAGAGCGCTGAGCCCGCCGCCACCGCCGCGTGCTCGGCCGCCGGGCCCCCGCGGGGTATTTATATGTCACAGCCGGGCGGGGGGGGCGCACGAAAATATCCCCCCTCCGCCGGAGGATGGCGAGGGGCAGGCGGCCAGGCACGGCCCGCGCGCGGCCTCGACCATCAATAATCCCACGAAATCATAAGATATTTGAAATTTAAAAAAAAAGGCCACCGGAGGGGCCGCGAACTCACGCCTTCCTGGAGCCGCGCCAGCACCAGAAATAGCCCGGGCTCGGAGTCCCAATTAGAGGAGCGCAGCCCCGGCTCAGGGGAGCTTAAAAAGAGCGACCCAGGGGCACGGGGGACGGGCCCGCCCGCGCCAGCCGTGTCACCGCGGGGGCGGGGCCATGCAAATGAGCCCGGGGATTTAAAAGGGCGCTGCCCGCCGGCCGCCGCCGCGCGCGGGTGGGTGCGGGCCGCGGGGTGCGCGCGCGCCCCCCACCGCCCGCCCACCGGCGCCGGGCTGCGGGCACGTGGGAAGGTGCAGCGAGGGAATCACTTTCCGCGGGGAGGGGCGCCCCGCGTAGAGCCCGGAGTGGGGAGGGGGCAGCTCCCGGAGGGTCGTCCCCGGGGGGCCCGGCGCGCGCGGGGGTCTCCCCCCCGGATGCCGCCGGCGGAGGCGGCGCGGGTGCAGGGAGATCTCTCCGCCCCCCCCCCCACACACACACTCCCGCCGGGGCGGCGCGGCTTCCCCCGCGCGGACAGGTGTCAGCTTGTGCATTTCAGTGCCAGCCGGCGAGGGGCCGGCGTGCCACGACGAGGCGGGTGAAAGCCAAACGTGCAACTTGGGAAACCCGGTCGTCCGGGACCCGCGCCCACGAGCGGGCCGCCTTCCCGCGCGCGCCAAACGAGCGGCCGCTCCGCAGGTCGCCCGGCGGGCCGCGTGGCTCGAGGGGACCTGCTGGGGCGTCGCGCGCGCGTTCCCCCCCGCCCACGCGGGCCTCCTTTTAGATCTTTATTTTTTTTTCTATCCAATTGTGAAAAGCGGGTCAGCGGTCACCGGGAGGCACTTTGAGGGCTGGGGCCGAGGGCGCGCACGCGGGCCCCACCGCGCCGGCCGCCCGGCCCAACAAAGACTTGTTGCACAACCCGGAGCGCGGCCCAAGGGGGAAGATGGCGGTGGGAGAAGAAAGGGCGCCGCGGGCGGCGGGACCCCGGGCGCACCCCCGCCGCCCCCCGGGCGCGCCCCCCGCCGCCCCCGCCGCCGCCGCCCCGGCCCTCCGTGATGCAGGCCCTTGCAATGCGGCCCGGTGACACCCGGCTGTGACTCATGCCTTTGCGCGCTCCCCTGCTTCTTCCTCCCCGGTCGTCCGAGGCCCCGGCCCAGCCCCCTCCTCGGGGGGCGCGGGGCGGCGGTGGAGGCGGGGAGGGAGGGGAGCCGGAGGGGCCGGCCTCCCAGTTTCAGGAATGTTTCAGGAATGTTTCCGGTGGGGGTGGGGAGCGGAGCCGGGAGTGGGCCCAGCCCCCACCGGGGCCAGCACGTGCTCGGCCCGGTGGGGGCGGGGGGCTCCAGGGCGGGAAAGCGCGGGGGACCCCCCCCCCACACACACACATACACCGTCGCCTCCGGCGGCCCCGCGCCCAGGTGCCCGAGTTGCCCCCAGGCCCCGGCCCGGAGGGGAGAGGAAGTCGCGGAGCCGGGCGGAGGGCGCAGGGGGGACGGCGAGGGGCGGCGGGGGGAGGGGCGACCTGCCCCTTTGTCTGAGCCGGGTGGGGGTGGGGCGGGTGCGGCGCGCGGCTCCCTCCGTCTTTGTGCCCAGCGCGGCCCTTCGTAGGCCGCCACCAGAGTGGGCCGCGGGCCTTGGGGTGGCCCGCGCGGGGGCCTGGGCGGTGGAGGGACCGGGCTGGGCGAGCCGGCCGCGCGCCCCTTGCCACCCCCGGCAGGTCAGCGGTCCCTCCCCGCCACGTGGGACCCCCACGTCTGGGCCCGGGAGAAGCCCCGAGGTTGCCTAGGCCGCTGGGCCCGGCTTGGGGGGTCCCCTGGGCCGAGTATCTGCCGCGCGCGGTTCACCTCGGGGCGCCTCACCCCTGCCCTGGCCGCCAGGGACCAGGCCCTAAGGGCCCCCCGCGGCACCTTCCGCCCCCAGTGGGCCAGGTGGCCGGGGGCGGACTTGGCCAACTTCGGGGCCCACTTGTAAGAAGTCGCTTGCCTCTTATTTTTTCCCTCGTGTTTTTTCCCTCTGGATTTCCTCACCGACTTGTTTTTACCCTGGTGTTGTGTGTTTTTGTAAGCCACCTCAACCCCTCTGGAAGGAGGCAGGTATAAATAAATTTGAAGGCAAATATAGTAGCTTGTTTCTCTCCACGATCACCCACACCCTCCAAATCCAAATAACTCCCCAATGACCTCCACCTCCAATGCCTTCTACGTAGCAGGTGGCGGGAGTTTGCTTCCCATTCTCCTTCAGCAGAGCAAGGGCTGAGGAGAAGCATTCTGAGGTCATCCCCTTTGGCCCCGCAAACTATGCAGAGGAATCAGTCTGGGAGAATCAAGAGCAACCAGGCAGAGATGCCGGGAAGCAGAAAGCATTTAGTCATAATTCGGTATTTCTTGAGGCACCTGTTGTAAACTAGAAAACCAAGCAGCCCAACTCTTAATATAAATGTGAACAAAGTTCCCTGCTCTCATGAACCCTAGATCATGAACTGCTTCAAGAGAAACCTGGTTGGTGCAAAGGGAGTTGGAGAGGTTCTGATTCTGGAGGCCCTTCCCCCAGTTGGGTGGGGTTTGGGCCGGGAGAGACTGGAGCTGTTCTAGGCCTGAATATCCACCAGCTTGGTCCAGGGCCTGAGGGGGCCCAGGGAAGTTGGGGGTGGGGGATCATACGGTGGGGGCATGCCCCGACCCCTTCTCAAAGCATTTTCTTAATATCAGAGTTGGGGTATATAGTTTCCACAATGACTCCCCAGTCACCATCAGTAAAGCCAGTGAGGATGGCCAGGATAGAAAGGGGACTTCCCGTCTGCTTGCTTTTTCTGGACAACTAAAGTTTATTCAACTCCTGGTTTTTGTTTGTTTTTGTTTTTATTTTAGGGTCACATCCGGCAGTGCTCAGGGGTTACTCCTGGCTCTGCACTCAGGAATTAATTCCTGGCTCTGCACTCAGGAATTAACTCCTGGCAGGCTCGGGAGACTATATGAGATGCAGGGGGGATCCAGCCTGGTCCACTGGCCGCGTGGCCGCGTGGCCATGTGCAAGGCACATCCCCTCCCCCCTGTGCTACTGCTCAGGCCCTTGTTTAACTCCTTTTACCTGAGTTCCTTTCCCTGCTGTACTGAGTAGCAAGAACCTTGCAGGCTCATTTGTGTGTGGCCTGTGTCTTGGTGTGTGGCTCTGCAGAGGCTGGGGGTAGGTTGGGCTGCCCTTGAGTGTTTGGGGGAGATTCACTCTACACCTCATTCATTAGCATACGGGCTGGATTGGGGAGGTGCCCAGCAGGTTGGCACATATGCTTTGCACGCAGTAGGCCAAGGTTTGATCCTCAGCACCAGAATGTTCCTTCCTGAGAACTGAGCTGGTGGTAGCGGCCCCAGTTTGACCTTTTATTTCTGAGTCAACTGCAGTTCTTCGGAAAAGAGAAGGACACAGGAACTAAAAACCCGGGGCCCAAGTGATAGTACAGTGGGGAGGGTACTTGCCTTGCACACGGCCAACCCCAGGTTCAATCCCCAGCCATACCACAGGTTGTGATTCCTGAGTGCAGAGCCAGGAGTAACCCCTGAGCATCGCTGGGTGTGACCCAAAAAACAAAAACAAACAAAAAGAGGAGCAAAGAGCAGTGTGAATAGTTCCATTCAGTGATGGTTCCTCAACTTTTCTGAAAAGCATGGAACTATTCCTCCACCCCTCTTGGAGAGCCCGGCAAGCTACCGAGAGTATCTCGCCCTCACGGCAAAGCCTGGCAAGCTACCCGTGACGTATTCGATATGCCAAACACAGTAACAGCAAGTCTCACGATGGAGACGTTACTGGGCCCGCTTGAGCAAATCGATGAACAACGGGAGGACAGTGATACAGTGATGGAACTAAGGAACAGGAGTGTTCTCTGGAGGCCCCTAACACAGAGGGGACGTGGGAGGAAGCAGGAAGAAGGAAACAGCCTCACCTAGTGTAAAATCGACCAAACTGGGGTTTCCTTTTGGCTTGGGGGCCACACGCAGCAGTGCCACAGGGCTGCTCCTGGCTCAGTACTCAGTGCTCAGTGATGGCTCAGGCGGTACTTGGGGGACCAGGTGATGCTGAGGATCAAACCCAGGTCTCCTGCATGTAAAACAAGCACTGCACCGCCCCTGTCAGCAGGGCTCTGGGCCAGGGGTGGTTTGGTTTGGTTTTGCTTCCTTTGGTCTTGTCCAAGCAGGGGCCCTGGGGATCTACTCACAGCAATTCTTGGCAAATTGGGCCAAAAGGGTTTTGGTGCAGGAGCTGCTGAGACCCTGTGGGGCCAGGGACCACCCTGATGGTTCTTTGGGGTCTCCGGACTATACTCAGAAATACTGGGGAGAGGGACATGAGGTACCAGGGATCAAACCAGAGTCGGGCATGCAACCCTAATCTCTGTACTAACCCCTAGCCCCCAGTATCTTTTTAATGTTGGAGGGAATTTGGGGGATCACACCTGGCTGTGCTCAGGAGCTACTCCTGGCTCTGTGCTCGGGTCACTCCTGGGTTAAGACCAGGTGATGCTGGGGGTCGAACTGGGATTGGCTACATGCAAGGCCAGTGCCTTAACCCCTATACTGTCTCTCTGACCCCATAAAGTAACGCTTTACAGGAGACCCAGGTCAGGTTCAATCTTTAGCACCACATAGCCCCCACACCCCCCTTAGTCCCTGAGTACCACAGGGCATGGCCCCCAAACAAACAAATTTTGTTGACAAAATCTATACATACAACAATGCATCGAACCTGTGCTCAGCTCCGTGGCTTGGCCAAGTGAGTATTCCAGTGCCCCCGGCCTCCAGCACTGCACCCCGCCTTAGATCACTGCCGTATCAGCTTCCGACAGACCCTACAGTTTCCCTTCTCTCTGTGTTTCATGGGTGGTACCAAGCGTCCTATCAACGCTCAGATTGGTTTCCTTTGCTCCACATGAAATTCACCCATGTCACTGCATGTGGCAAAATAATGTTCGTGGTGCGCCTGTATTCTAATCCATCCATCTGTCCAAAGGCTTTTAGATCCTTTCTGGGACTGTTTTAAAGAGTGCTGCTGTGAATGTTCTAGAATGTTCTAGAACATATCTTGGTGAGTAAAAGTGCAAATTTCTCTGGGTTGTGTGCCTAGGTGAGGCACCCCAGACTATTTGCTGTACATGTCCAGCTTTTACAGACACGCAGGACACTGACCTGTAACAGGGGAAACCACTAGTCCTTGGGCTCAGACTCATTCCAGGGGCTGGGGAGCCAG